TTTTATACTTGTCTAACAACAGAACAGGAAGTCTACACCAGACGACATTTCAACTTATTAAAGGCCAAGCTGTGGGAAAGGTGCAAAATTGTAACTAAACACATGGTTTAAGTTCTAAGCAAGCTAAAGGTGTAAAAGGTAGAAGAGTCAAGTGACACAAGGTGTTTCCTGAGGACCTTTTGTCCCAGAACATCACTGTACCGTCCGTCTACAGAGGAGACGTCTCATGCTGTCTTCAGAAATGCTGTGCACTTCCTTCCACGTTCACTCTGCTGTCGTTACAAAGAAAAGCTGGTGTCAAACACCAAAGAAACACGCTGGCACTGCTTCTTGGCCCGACCGTCCCACCACAGTGTGGTATGGGCAGGTGGCGTCTTTGTCACTGCAAAACCAACCGTGGTCGAGAACCGCTGCTTCCTGTTGCAAACTACATTAGAGGCATTTGCAAAGCCAGCTAATAGGGGATTTGGGTCTTTGACACTATTGCTGTATGCATTTAGGGGTGAAAGAGCATGACATGAACAATGCTCCTGTCCAGAACATGTTCTCACACACCAATAAAGATATGAGAGGGAAAAACAAAGTGAAGCCTTCTTGTCTTCTCGCTGATGAGCGAGGCTGTTTTGTGGCCTCACTGGGCAGCATGTCCATGTGGAATACAATAACACATACAGTACATGCTGCTGCTTGATAACTGGATCGTATAAATCTTCCGTATATACAAAGCAACATGCGGCTGTGGGGGCGTCACTGAATGCTAGCTGGGCGCCCTGGTTAAGGTCCCGTTTAAGAAGGAAGGATAACAAGTGGCCCTTTGAGTAATTAGATTCCTGGTTTCGTTATTAGCAGAGCAAAGAAGGCCACAATACACCATTTATGTAGCGATATCGCTCTGATTGCATGTGCTCAAGCTTTTCACAGGCTTATAATACAACTTTCAGACTATCATTAGTCGGAGTTTGCAATTTTGAGCAGCAAACTTAAAAAAAAAAATTAATATAAAATTAATTAGCCTGTTCTGCGCAATGATTGCCAAAATTAGAGAATGAAGATGGGTCCAAGAAACAGGATAATGCAGCCTTAGATATAACCGATTCCCTTAACACCGCGCGTGTTTTCATGAGCTCCACATTTGGTCTTGTTTTCTCTTTAGCCCTCTCAAAGAGCAGAGAAAACCTGTTTTCACAGTTATTGACATTTTCGTCAATTCCCCTCGGCTTTGACTTTTAAAAATGTGTCTTTCCTCTTTCCTCTGCTAATAACGAACCACAAATCTAATTACTCAAAGGGCCACTTGTTATCCTTCTTCTGTCGCGCCGTTGCTTTGTTTTTTTGTACTAATAGGCATTTTCTTTTCTGTATTTTCAAATTCTAAAAAAAACAGGATCTGTCATGAATCTTCAAAGATGTAAATGAAATGACGACTCCGAAAAGAGTTATTTCTGATTTGATGGATGCATTTATTCAAACTCTTTCTCCTCGAAAGGTCGTGCTCATTCAATATTGATCATGACAGAAGACATGTTTCTTTATACTTTGCTTACAAGAAGATAGACTTTGTCTGAGGTTTTTTTAAGTGGTTATATCCAGTAGTTCCCCGGTTGCCTACAGAGTTTTTCTTGAGTGTCTTCAGCCATGTGAAAAACACGGCGGAGCCTCTGTCATGGTTTGACTGCAGTTCAGTCAGTGGTGTTGGAGATCTTGTCAAAATTGATGAAATTATGAATACAGAAAAGTATAATCAGATTTTCATCCACTATGCAATAGAATCTGGCGTGTCCGATTGACACTGGCTTCAGTTTTCACCATGACATGCTCCTAAACACACTGCCAATGCGATTAAAGCATACCTGGACAGAGACCAGTCATGGTTTGGCCAGAACCTCAGCATTACTGACACTTAACAACAGTTTTGAATGTCCTTGAAGAAGGACAACCAAGGCAACCTTGCAT